GCAGGCACTGGAGGCCCTTGTCATGACTGTGTGTGTGTGTGTGTGTGTGTGTGTGTGTGTGTGTGTGTGTGTGTGTGTGTGTGTTTTAGATTTTCCCCACAACAGCCCCAATTCCACCTAGGTGAATAGATTCAGAATCAAAGCAGTCTTTGTCCTATTGCAGACAACGAGAGCATTTGAGATGTCCAACATATTAAAGCAATTTTATAATTAGTGCGAGGCTCAAGGCCTCGATACGCCCTACTGGGCCCTATTTTCTGTACAGTCGGCCGCCCTAAGTGAAGGCAGGCTCGACTAAGGCCTACAGGCTCATTTTGGGGTCACCACACAACTGGGGAAATTCAGGCAGTTGTGCAGCGCCAGTTGGTTGAGAGCGCCCAGGACCAGGCTGCCTCTTTTGAATGTAATCGATGCAGGCCCTGGGCCAGATTCGCAACATGGACCGAACACAGGCCGCGGGCAGTTGGACACGGGAAACCACCACAGGCCCACGGCCTGATTCGTTTGGACTGGGGCTCAGCCTCTCTGGGCCTACCGGAAGCTTCTGGGAAGGGGCCCAGCGCAGGCAGGCTTCGCGCAGCAGGCAGGCCACTTTCATTTAGGAAAGTACCTGCCCACGCATTCGGCATTCGGGCAATGGCTGCATGCTGCGCAAGCGCTGCTGCGCTATACGCTGGCCAGCGCTCACGTGCTCACGGGCGAGCTGGAAGGATCAGGCAGCCATAGCCGAGCTGCGCTGCTGTATGCTGGATGGGGCGCATGGTGGTCTTTGGGTGCACGCGGCATCTGTGAGTGGGGGATCGAGGTTATGAGTGAGGCTAGAGACATACCTGGTGCTTGAGGCGAACGACATTGGCCGAGATCTGCTTGTACTTCGGGAGCTGTTGACGTCATCAGCGGCATTGTAGATAGGCTAGATAGGATCTGCCATGTGTAGTCCGGGCGCCGAACGCCAGATAGGATGTCGACATTGGTTCTTTGTTGATGATGATGAGACTATTCGAAAACTATCGCTTATGGGCTTTTGCTGTGCTCTTATTTGGTGGGACTCATGATGCAATTCTGCTTTTGGTTCGAGGTCACGACTATCTAGTCTCATGTGTATGATGCTGCTTGGTTTCTGAAGTTCGGTATCGCTCATTTTCCTTGCAATTTGGTATCGGAGCTGTGGTACGGTGCGCTCATCTGGCGCTTGTCTTCTGTTTAAGCGTTACATGCACGCGGTCTGCTGAGCGAGCGGCCGTGGGAGGTGTGTAGTGAGGAGGGAGAAGGCAAGTAAGGCGACCCAGGAGGTGAGCGGTATCGCCAGGAAGGCTACATGATGAATATTGGGTGTTCGCAGTGTGATGAGAACTATCTGATGTGCGATTGATGCTGAGGTGGAACGGCGGTGTAATGCTGGTTGTGCCGAAGCAGCAATTGGTCATCACAATCGGAATCAGGTCATTTGGTGAGAATATCCGTGGTTGGGGGCAGCTATTTTGAGGTACGTTACACCTAACGTTATCTACCCTCTTCGACACTTCTTACCGTGAGGATGTGTGTTATGTCTTGAGAGTCCTCTCATGTGAGGAGTCGAGTGCGCTCAACCTTGAGAGTCGTCAGTGTTCACATGGAGCATCTGGAAGGAGAGGGCGGAGCTATCTGAAGGGCCATAGACGAAGCACTGGGTCATGGTCACCATGCCAACCCACCAGGAGTAGAGCACGCATGCTTTGCTGCTTTGTCCTTTGTCTCCTCGCTGCGCTATAGATGGGTTCTGAGGGGCAGGCCAGCCCTACGAGAAAGACCAGTACCGGACGTCTATAAATAAGTACTGGTGGGGACGTTCCATTGGTTGTGATCGTCATCCTGTCTGCGGCATTAAATAATTCCTGAGGACTTCGGGGGCCGTCCATAAAAATGCCTTATGATCAGCCAAGTGGTCGGTGTAAGGCTCACTGCACGCGAGGATAAAATTGTGCAGGGCTGGCCAGCTCAGCAGGACTCGGGGCACAGGGGTGGGCCGTGTGCACACCTTTAGACACGCATGCTGTTCCGGATTGCTCAAGGACGCTGATGACAAGAGACATTCAGGAAGAACTGAGGGAGGGGTAGATTCCAGGTGATAAGTTTGGGAAAGATTCCAGTCTGCAAACAACCAATCAAATGATTCCATTTTTATTTTTGATTAGTTAGATGTACAGCCATTAACATCTGACAGACAACATAGTAAGAACTGTTCTCTGTTCGTTGTGCTTTTTGTTTGTGAACTAGTCAAAGTAGAAATAGTTTCGTTTGTAGGAATCTGAACTTACCTGTTGAACCTAAATGAGTAGTCTCTGACATAGCCACCGATTATTCATTTTATTTATTTTAAATCGGCCTGTACATCATGCTGCAGTAGGCATTGAGAGTGTCCTAGTGCAGACCGTGTACAATGTTGTAGCCTATGAGTGACAGGGAGGTCCCACAACCGGACGATAGGATCTTGCAATCGGCAAGACGCCCGATAGCCCACTTGGCATTAGGACCAGAGGGCGATAGATACCTGTTCCGCCAGCAGAGAGAGAGACAACAACATCAGTGAAGGGCTAGGGCCGCAAAGGCAAGCAGGGCATTCGTGAGCGAGGCCGCTACTTCAGCAGCCATGGCAACTACTGTGCAACAGAGCTCTCAAGCTAGTAGTTCAGGGACTGTAGGGTCAACGGTCGCACAAACCCTGAGTCAATCCACTCGCGTTATGGCAAGCCAGCCAACAGTGCTGAACCCCGAGGAGGTCGCCATACAGCAAGCAGCTATTCGTGAGGCACAACTACAACATGAGTTCGAAGAGATCAAGGCAGAGAAAGAGAAAATGATTAGAAGAAGAGCCTGGATGCAGCGAAGACAAGTGAACGTTAGTGAGTTAGAAGAGATGGATCTGACGTACATAGAGGATGATGTGAGGATCCTACGGACCATCCTGCTAGATGTAGTAGAAATGCAGGATCACCAAACGACTCTCTTACAGGACATCCAACAAAGTCTGGCCGTATTGGTCGGGCGGGCGCAGGCAGCTCCATCGTCGGGCCCGGTGCCTGGCCCTTTGTACATCCTCCTCCTTTTGTCCCACCGGTAATAGGGGTTTCCCCATATGTCTCTCCAGTATCGGTCCAAGCCGTTTCCCTGAGTATGTCTTTGACAGGCGGGTTCTCAGCAGGTCCTAGTGTTCAGGTTCCTGTACCACCAGTGTATTCCCAACCTCCGTTGCAGGTTGCCGTAACCGGGCAGCCTGCTGTCTCGCAGTCTGCACAACAACAGCTAGTGCAACAGCCTGGTCCCCAAGGTCCACAACCTAGAGTGGGACAGGTACCGGGACAAAGCCAGTGGGTTCCGAAGACGACCATCGCCTTCCCCAAACCCTTTATAGGGGACAAGAGGGGCGAAGACCTCGACACATGGTTGAGGTCAGTGCCAGTCTATGTCAAATGTAAATTGACCTTGGTGCACGAGGAAGTGCTTGTGGCTGCCTCCTATTTAGAGGGGAGTGCAGCAAGATGGTTGAGTGGTTTAGTGCAGCTACAGCGATACAGTCACGACTTCCGCACTTGGGCAGTTAACCAGAAATTGGAAGACTTCCTTAAGCTGGTGGAAGATGGGTGGCATGATCCTCAGGAGGCTCAAAAGGCCACTGACGCGACCCTGACTTCGAACAACAGGCAACTCAAGTCAGTAAGAGAAGCCACAGATGCATCAGAGTGTCTGATCTGTGTTCCTGGAATACGCTATGACCCCCAAGTCTTACTCACCGCATACCTGAGATGTTTTCCTTTGCCTCTCGGGAATCAGCTGGCAGGTGAGGCCAACATCAATATGCACAACTTTCCCTCGTTCAGCAAGAAGGCCCTAGACCTAGAGGCAAAGATAGGGCATGGACATACACCCACGACGAACGATAGGAAGAAAGCACTGCCTCCCAGCTGGAAGGCGAAAGGCCGCATAATGTTCGTCAACAACGATGGTTCTACCATCGAGTTAGAAGACGACTTCCAGGCGGGAGTGGGTTCAAGGGCGGGCAGCATAGAAGTTTCAGGGGGTGGAACAGTCTCTGCCTCTGTCCAGAAAGGTAAGGCGACCGGTAGACGCCGTGGAGGTTCCCGGTCTAGGAGTCAATTTGACCCTAATGCTCCTCCATGGGAGAAAGCAGGTCTCACAGAGGACGTGTGGAGAGATAGGTATACCAGGCAGGCCTGTATTCGTTGTGGTCAATATGGCCACAACCAATTCAAGTGTCGCAACAAGAAGGTGACCGAGAAGATCCCACCTAC